GGTGTTACAGTCATTCTTTCAAGAAGAAACTGATCCCTCGTATTGGGCTCTATACTACAGGGGTAAGGAACGTCTGGCCCGAGGGCCGTATATGCCCAAGAAATCATTTGGTCTGGCCCTAGCATTAGGGGTGAGTTAATTAAATGTTTGACCAAATATAGCAGGCTAATTTTTAAGTTGATAATTTTGTATGGCCTGAGAAAGACGTTATAAACATCCAAAATGGCCGTTGGCAGAAAAAGGGCTCCCACCCCTGTTTTAAAGGCATGGACTTGGTTGCATAGGGAAAATTTTAAGTAAAATGACACTGAACAGCTTTCTGCCTGGCTCTCTGCATTTTGCTCACATTCTGCATTATATCTGTGTGAGCTTGTTCAGATTCTTCTCCAGCCTATATGTTTTTGATAACTTGGAACCATCTTGTAAGGGGAGACTTCTTTCTAAAAGTTTGTCATTGAATTGCCCCACACCAGTGAGGAAAGCCTCTTTGTAGTCAGTGTATATATTTGTGTACTTTTAGTCAAGACATACTGCTTTCTACAGGAAATTAAAATCTGGGTAATGAGCTCACAAAATCTATACATATTTAACATAATCATAATATAACGGCATATTGAGATGTCTTTCTGGAACACTTCATTTGACCTCATCACATAAGTCACCTCTGAATTTGGTAGGAACGCAGCTGTTCTGCAGTCTTTGCAGCATTAGCACCAGAGCATGCCCAGGTCAACTTCATGACTATGGTAAATCTCACAGAAGTGAGAACTTGCTCTAGCATTCTGGACAAGTAAAGTACAGAACATACTTTGTTACCAGGCTTTCATTCTCCTCCTGTATATCTCTTGCTCCATGAATGAAAGGATCAACAACTTCAGGAGATCCTCCCCAGATACGGCTACTCCCTAGTGGGATTACCAATGTATTTAACTAAAGCAGTTTGAAAACTACTCTTGTAAATCTGAGGTTTATGATGGCGTGGTCTGTTTTCTAGAATTCAGATGGTACTGGTCAAATAAGAGAAGAGAGGAAAAACTATGTACTCTATTAGTTCACTCAGCCAATATTTCTTAAGTACCCTGATGTTCACAGGACTACTTACATCAGCATGCAGTAGAGTGAGAGGCTGGATTACAAAGTTGAGCACATGGTCTGGGCTGTGTGAGCCACTACTTTCTCTGATCATTTGGAAAATTACTGTGCTCTGCTGCCAAAGCATAACCACATTCCTGGACAGGACGAGATGCTGAAGCTTCCAATGCTGAAGTGTTAGAGCAGCCTGTTTTGGGGGACAGCTTTCTGCTTTGTTAATGAGTATGCTGGCTGAACCTGTAGGAAGAAGCTGAAATATGGACTAGAAATAGCACAAAAGAAATGTGGGAATCTCAGAAGCAAGGAGATATGGGAAAAGACCTTGAGAAATCACTGAGCTCCATGCCTCACAGCACATCTACATTTATTATAGATGAGAAAAACCTTATTGGCTTTTCCTTAAACAATTCAGGTACGATGTATTGTATTCTTTAAAATACAGTTTCAGAAATAAATGCAACTATTAAATTTACTATTAACTGCTTTTCCCTTCTTTCCCTTACTTAGATTCCTTTGAAGAAACAAATTTTTTTAAAAAAAACCAAGTATTTTATAAAATGAGATTTACAAATTCTCATTAAAAGATGCTAAAAATGACTAAACTCTGGTTTTACAAAGGGGACATTATTATATATTCATTATTTTTCCTGCCTTGAAGACTTAAAACATTTTCTCTAATCCTGTAGCATTCTTTTCCTTACATATTTATAGATTGGCCCTGCTTCAACTTTCTTGCCTTTGCAGACTATTTCTTTTGAAACAAAACCTAACAACTTTCCATTTCCAATAAAACAAATAAAGCAGGCTATGAAAACTGCCAGCATTTCTATCTGAATCGTGGGCTGCCAGTCAGCTAGCACAACCTTACAATTCAGAGAAAAGCAAGAGACATTTAAAAAGATTCGGGGGGTGGGGGGAGCGGCGGCGCAGTGGCAAGGAAGCAATGATAAAATCTTGAAATTCTCCAAATTTATATATGCCATTAAACTTTACTATAAAATCCCTCAAATAAATGTGTTTCTAATATTAGCATTAAATGAGGCTGGTGTATTGAGTAGAACTATTTGCATAATAATGACAAAGTTTCAGGGCAGCAAAATAGACTCAACTGAAACTTAAATTCTAATTCCTGAGCAGCTTCTGAGTAATGAGCCTGAACAAGTCAGAATTGTCCTGGCCCTCTTCTTCAACAGTGGAAAAGGGATTATGTAAAGATTTTATTTTATTTTTTTGAGAAATTTACAATGTAACCTATGGTTTCTCAAACTTTCCCTTCATGTAGCCACACTGGGGAAGTAGGGTGAATATACCTCCCAGTAGCTGTGAATTTAGCTTGAAGTTGCCCATTTCTCTTTAACATTCATATATATTTGAACTGTATGACATAAAATATTTATCTCTCTGTAAAAATATAAATCCTCTAATTATTGGCTACTTAAAATCATGTTACCCCCATATTAGTTAGGCTATGTGCTAAACTGCTATATTAAGATTCCAAATGTACTTGCTAGAACAAGATATTTTATTTCTCATGTTAACAGGCTGGAGATAGCAGTTTGTTAAGAGTATATCAGCAATACTGCTCCATGAGGACATTCAGGGACCCAGTTCCCTTCCATGTTGTTGCTCCCTACCCTTTAAGGAATAATCTTTGCTCAGTCAAAGCTCACTCATCTCTAAATCTATGTTTCAGATTTGGAGATACAGAAAAGTGAAGATGAATATCATTTCCACTTACATTTCATGGGTGAGACCTAGTCATATGGCTGCAGTAGCTGCAGAGGATGGAAACATAATTTCCGGTTTCCATGTGGCTGGCAAAAATTAAAGTGAAGGTGATGCTACAGAAATAAATATCACATATATGGATATACAGATAGAAAAAAAAATTCAATAAAACCTATTGGCCATTTTTGAATTATGTGATTCTATAAATTTAGGTTACTTATAATTTTTTGTATTTCCTAATTAAAAATAAACATATTTTATAATTGAATAATTACATATATTATTTGTAATAGGTACAGAAATAGTACATTGGTTCCTTTCTAACAAGCAATTCTACTTTTATTCAATCCTCATGTCAAACACTCATGCAAAGCATAATTATTTGCTAAGATAGTATGTTCAAGTCCCCACTTATCCTCTCACCCATCTTATTTCTATTAAAAAGTAACATGCAATTAATACTTTCGGGGAATGATATCTTCTTTGACTTGTGTATCGAAACAAAAGTGGTGCCTTAGGGAAGAAAATGACCTGCAATTAAATACATTTCAGGAAAATATATGTTCTTAGTTGGAATTAGACCTTCTAATTGTCCTTCCTTCAATGCCTGTGATCAGAATTTCTTGAACTATTTACCACGTGTTTGTTTAGGTTTAGATATACACTTAGAGTCTATAAAACCAGCTCTTTTAGGGGCCATAAAATGAGCTACTATTAGACAATTCATCTTGAACTGTCACATTTAATTTAGATACCTACATTAGGAGTTAAGTTGGCTATGAAACCAATGAAAACTTCTACCTATCCATATGGTCAGAAAGGCCTAACAAATTCAACTTGAGATGATATATGTTTATTTGTACATAAGAAGTTTTAAAAAATATTTGTAAAAATGTTTATAGTAGGAAGTTCCCTCTGAGGTCTGGCAGAACAGAGTATAAACAAATAAGACAGATCTATCCCACAAGAAACCTTTGGAGACAAATCTCATTATATTAAAAATATGTCTTCCAGATATACTGTCAATGGAAGTTTAAAAACTTTTAAAATCAATCAACTATGGACAGCGACTACAACATTCATTTTCTGAAATACTGAAATAATCCAAACTCCCAATCCTTATAAGCGACAACACAGAAGCACAAATATAAATAAGGGCATAAATTATATATATTGAATTTTTATTTGGGAGACATTTAACACTTGTATTACTCAGACACCTCATATAAAGAATGTGATTTCATATTAATGGCTGTTTGTTTAGGACATTTATGAAATAAAATTCCTTCATGTGAAGAAAAAGCATTTTGAATCTCTCTCTCTCTCTCATTTTCTCCCCGTCCCTCCTCCTCTGACTTTCTGAAAACAATAAATTCAATTGATATTATTTTTTACAGACAGCCATACTCATATTTATATATATTCATAGCATAAAGTATTGTGCACTTCAGTTCAACTACTTCTGAGACAAACATTTTATTGAATGAAATGAATTAACATATTTACAGAAAGAGAATGTAAAAGCTGTTTTGAAATTTTAAGGATACTCCAGCACTCATTACAATTCTTTTTCTTCATGATCTGAATCTGTCTCCCACATTATGAAATGAATCATTATTAAATGAATAATTAGTTCTACTATCTGCAGTAGAAAGAACTGTTATTAAATCATTAAACTCAGAGAAAAAGTAAAAGTGTGCAGAGAAGCTCACACTGGAATCTCTGGATAACTACTACCAGCTCTCCCTTCAGCACTCATTACAATTCTTTTTCTTCATGATCTGAATCTGTCTCCCACATTATGAAATGAATCATTATTAAATGAATAATTAGTTCTACTATCTGCAGTAGAAAGAACTGTTATTAAATCATTAAACTCAGAGAAAAAGTAAAAGTGTGCAGAGAAGCTCACACTGGAATCTCTGGATAACTACTACCAGCTCTATTTTTAATTTCTTTCCTATATTATTTCCAAAGCAAACTATACTCATTATATTCAGGGGAAAATACTGTAATGTATTGATTGCATGGGGCGGCTTTCTTATTTTTATCAATGTAATTGTTGAGTTCTGTATTCTACGGTACGCAGTATACTTTATATCCATGGACCCTCCTTGATACCTATAGGTATCATCAAGTATGTAAAAAATGCATGTGGGCAATAAAGCAAAAATAGGGCAGTAAAAACAATATGGTGTTCACTTTTGTTTTTTTGAAAGCAAGATTATTCTTAACAATTGCTTGCTTGCTGTTGGCTCATGGAACTAGAGAATGTATATTAGAATCTTAGTCCTCAGAAAATTATTTCCTTTAGCTACTATTTGTCTAAGAAGTGATAAACCATATAATTTACAAGAAGAAAACTACTGAATCCTTCAGAAAACACAACCTGGCAGTCTGTCTTCAAAGCAAAATGATGAAGTGGCAGGAGTGTGATGGGGAAAGCGGTCTTCAGGAACATCAGGTAAGAGAATCCAGCTGTGCCTGGATGGTCTCTAGCTATTTACAAAGACAAGAAAAAGAGAGAGAGAGCTGGTAAAGAAAGAGAAATGCATAGGAAGTGCTGTTTAGAAACATGCAAATAGAAGGGAAAGGATGGCATTGGCAATTATGCGTATTAAATCCATCCACAGCAATAAATACACCACTTAAATTTTTTTCTTTTTTAGTGACAATATTAGAATTAGTGCTTGCTAAACTTTCAAATTTGTAAAGGAGGATTTCTAAATACTACTGTTTTACGTACACCCAACTGTTTCATTTTAAATGCTCATTATATGACTTTTAAAGGTGTGTGTGTCTGGGGGAATTTTCTAGATTACAAAATCAGTATTTGGAAAGAATCATCAAAAATACTCAAAGATAAATCTTTAAGGCCTGGCATCTTCCTTTTCTTTTGTACACAGAAATGAAAATATTTAACATTACTTTATATCTAATGTGCCAGTGTGGCTAGGTACCACATAAGTCATTACATATTGTTTACAGCAATACTCCTATTGCTTTAATTAAAACCATTTCCATTTTCTTCCTGATTTAGTTTGTCAGATTCTCATCTCAGCAATGCTTCCTACTGTGAAACATAAGGTGTTTACAAGTCAAGTTTAAAGAACTTAGTTCCATAATAGGGAATTTAAAAATAAAAATTCATAAAATGAAGGAAACATTGGGGAAAAACCCACTTCTTAGAAATTATTTTTAAAATACTTACCTTGTTATAGAAATCAAACAACTCCTTGTGATTGAATTCCACAAGAACTTTCTCCAGATTCTATAAGAAAGAAAAAAAAAAGAATTTAGTTGTATACAATTTATTGTTTTTTTTTCTATCCAGCTAGCCCCCAAATATGCCATCTTATTCTGAGTAGGTTTAAAAGAAATACAATATAAATGTTACTTGCTCTACTTAACATCATTGTTCCTAGAACTCACAAACGCACTTAATAACACTCCACATTAGCAAAAGGTTTCAACTCTATAGGGATATCTGTTCTTTAGTTGACTCTGCAAAGTTTAATAAAATAGATGCCAGCAAGAGAACAATTTCATTATCTATTTTTTCAAGACAGAGATAATACATGAGATTATATTTCATCTTTCTCAGCAGTCCATTTGAAATCTGGTAAATGCCATTACATAAAGACACCCGGGGTGGCATATCTGATTGGATCCATCCAGCCATTAATGCCTCACATCAGCACTGCTGCTGTCTCTAAGCATCTAACAGTTATGATCTTAACATGCTGAGACTGCTACCTTTTTCAATGTACAGACTCAGCAAAAGTTAACAATTAACACAACAGCTTCAAAGCTGGGACTTAAACATGCTCCTTCCTTTTAACCCACAATGACTTAGAGAAGATCTCAAGAATAAGGGAGGAGGCAGCCGATCAATGAGTCTCTCATCATTGATGTTTCTATCGCTCTCCCTATCCCTGAAATCAATAAAAACATATTAAAAATTCTAAAAAATAATAAGGGAGAATATAGAAGTGGTTTTAAGTGTTTCATGTCTATATGTAAAGAGATTATCTTTAGAATTTGAGAATCTATGTTTACCCATGGAGTGGCCAAGAGCAGTTGTTCTTTAGGAAGGTAGCAATGGAACCTAAGATAAGGCTAAAAACGGAAGGGAAGCTGGCCTGCTCCCCACATTGCTATGTTCTGGCATTAAACCCCAAAGAGTCCAAAATTTTAAATTCAAATCTGTCCTTCTAGGACGTTATTAAGGTATCTTATCCAGAAAGGAGTAAGATCAATTTTATTTAACAGGTTGGTAGCTTTATTTATGATTCTAAATTTAGACATATAGTCCATGGCTCCATTTTTACTCTTGCTTCAGGCCTAAAAATATTAGGAATGGGTCTGATCAAAAACTTTTCCATTTTAAGGAGGAAAATACTCCTAGCTTTCCCTTTTTTTTTTTTTTTTTGATTTGTGGATATTGTACCAACCTTTCATCCTTGAGAATATAATTAGAAAGTCACAAATTTGCTTAGCAAACCAGAATCAACTCTCTAACTTTATTGTTTACTCCTCCAAAAATGTTTGGAAGGGTCTATCCATTAAGGAAGCATGTTTTCAAACAACTTCTTTTCAATTTACTGTCAGGACACAAGGCAATGGTAGTCTAGACCCAACAAGGATGTAAAAAAAAGCATTATGTTTAATGAGAGTTCAATTGCTCGTATTTAAGGGGTGCTTCTCTTTGGGTTGTCTAGCTCTACATGTATCTTCCAACACTTTATATAGCCCTGGACTTTCAAATAACAAAGATCATTAGTATCTTTGTTAAAGGAAGAAGAGGAGTAAATACATTGGAATCCAAACCCTCCATATCTCAGCTATCAGTAGCAACTCTAACAACAGGCTTTCTGGAGGAAGATGTAGAAAATCCTGGCTGAAGTCATTTTATAGGCTGAATTTGACAATGGATTTAATTATTCACTTACTTCCTGTCTATCACGGTCATTAGATCAGGGGTCCTCAAACTACGGCCCGCAGGCCACATGCAAATACAAATATTGTATTTGTTCCCGTTTTGTTTTTTACTTCAAAATAAGATATGTGCAGTGTGCATAGGAATTTGTTCATAGTTTTTTTTTAAACTATAGTCCGGCCCTCCAACGGTCTTGGCCCCCTGTTTAAAAAGTTTGAGGACCCCTGCATTAGGTAATGAGACTTAATTAGTTGGTCCTACCCTGCCTCCCCACCCCAGAGAGAGTCAGAAAGATAGTCTGGATAATAAGATGCAGCCTATCCTATATAATAAAAGGCTAGTATGCAAATCGACCGAACAGCAGAACGACTGGTCAGTATGATGCGCACTGACCACCAGGGGGCAGACGCTTAATACAGGAGCTGCCCCCTGGTGGTCAGTGCACTCCCACAGGGGGAGCACCGCTCATCCAGAAGCCAGGCTCACAGCTGGGCCCCCTGGTAGTCAGTGCACTCCCACAGGTGGAGCACTGCTCAGCCAGAAGCCGGGCGGGGAGCGGGCTAAGCCATCAGTCGGACATCCCCCAAGGGCTCCTGGACTGTGAGAGGGTGCAGGCCAGGCTGAGGGACTCCCCCCCCCCCTTGCCGAGTGCACGAATTTCATGCACCAGGCCTGTAGTTATATAATACTAACTAAGAGAAATATCTTAGTGGCATAAAACTCCAGTTGCAAGTTATCAAATGTATCAACAATTTGTCAATCATATACCAAAACTACTTTTAAACTAAAACTAAACAACTCAAATCTTACTTGGTGAAACCAATTAAATACAAATATTTTAATATATGTGTATATAACAGATATATCTAGATATATGTACACACACACCTTTAGATAGTATGGTACTTCACTTTAAAAATATATATATTTTTTGTAATATATTTTTATTGATTTTAGAGAGGAAGGGAGAGGGAGAGAGATAGAAACCTCAATGATGAGAGAGAATCATTGATTGGCTGGCTCCTGCAGGTCCCACACTGAAGATTGAGTCCACAACCCAGGCACGTGCCCTGACCAGGAATTGAACCATGACGCTCAACCACTGAGCTATGCCGGCTGGGCGATACTTCACTTTTTTACATAGTCAAGTGTTTAAGAAAAAAGTATACAAGAACATTACATCCTCATTCTTCCAGTAACCAGGTACAAAGGATATGTTCATACAAGGAAAACTGTATTTTAAGTAAAAACATGTTAAAGTAAGAGCAGAGAGTTTATATTATCTTCCAAAGGAATATAATGACTAGATAATTAATAAAAAGTATTTCTGGAAGGACTTTTTGTTGCTTGTTTATTTAACAGAAGTATCAGTAGATACTGCTAATTTACCCTAACTCATTAAAAACTTACTAGATTTGTGTGTGTTTTTTTAAAAAAAGAAGTAATTTCGTAATATCTAACTAGGCTAAGATATTGTTATACATACCCCCCACATAAATGAATATTTTTTTAAACATAAAAGTAAAGTAAATAAATAAGATAGTTTTGTTTTATTTCGCTTTGTTGTTGTTATTGTTTTATTGGAGGTAAAGAGGGTGGTTGATTTGTACTGAGTCATCCACACAATTGCACGGTCCCTCTTGAGACAAAAGTAAGATGGAAGCCACTGCTAACGATACCTGCTCATGTGAGAATAAAGAAGGGTAACATTTTTTCAGTCTCCTTGGTTCGACACAATCTTCCTTGATCTAACTTTCTAATTTTATTTCCCACAAGACCCTCCAAAAACTCTTATTCCAACCAAACTGGTGTACTCACTATCTCCCACATATCCCACACTTTCTTCCCTGTTTTTGCTCATGTGGTCTCCTACTTTCAGATGAACTGTGGTTCTAAATAGGTAAGGTAAAACAAAAAACTAAAAGAAAGTATAAGTGAATATCTCCATTACCTTGGGGTATATAAAGACTCCTTCAAAAAGACATGAAAATATACTAAGTATGTAATCTTTAGTAGCATGTAAGCTGTTAGTAAATAATATACTAACTATAAAGAAAATGATTAATAAGTTAGAATACATTAGATTTCATCAAAACACATCATCAAAAGAGTCAAAAGGTTAGCCACAAAGACTCACATCTAGAATATATAAAAATCCCTACAAATCAATAAAAGAGACAAAACTCAGTTTAAAAATGGACAAGAATATATGTAAAATCATTATATTATACATCAAAAACTAACACAATGTTATGTCAATTATATCTCAAATTTTTAAAAAGCCACCTGGGTGGTAGTGTTTGGCTTGGAAGAAGGAAGAAACTATGAGAAGATTCTTATGATGCCAAATAGATTGTTCAAAGGGACTCCACACTAGCGAACGTGAATGATTTGGAGGACTGGCTGGTGGTGGAATGCAAGAAGTGGAGGAATTAATACTGAGGAACACAGCCCTTCTCCTGGTAGACTTCCTGGCAGTTTCCCCAGCTGAGAAAGGTGTCCAAGAATGCCCTGGATTGACAGATATTCTCTGGTTAAAGAAAAAAAAAAAAGACAAAAAGACAAGAGACTTGAACAGACACTTCATAGAGGAGGATGTCCAAACAGCCAAAAACATGCAAAAATATATTAGAAACCATACTGCTGGGAGGGATGGAAATTTGTATAACCATTCTGGAAACTTGTTTGGCAATATTTACTAAAGTTGAATATATGCACAACATATGACCCAGAAATTCACTCCTAAGTAGAATACTGCACTCAACAGAATTGTACCCATTTGGATACCAGGAGATTGGTACAAGAATATTGGTAGTACCATTATTCAAAAGAACCAAAGAACAGAAGTAACCAAAATTTCTTTCAACAGAAGACTATATAAAAAATTGTAGTATAGTAATACAGTGAAATATTACACAGACATTAAAATAAACTACAGCTAAATACAACACCTTGTATGACTCTCACAAACATAATGTTAGAGACAGGAACTGAAGAACACATACCGATTGATTTCATTTATATAAAGTTTAAAAACAACAACAACAAAAAGTTTTAGAGAAAAATACTTAGGTGTTAAAACTACAGAGTAAAGCAACCAAGATACTGTTAGAATAATACTTCCTCTGCGAATGTAATGCCAGCTGTGATAGAGAAGTGTGAAAACTTCAGATGTGGTTTAGAGGTAGAAGAGATAGCACTTAGTGACAGACTTGAGTTGGGGCAGAGGAGTTGAAGGAATAGAAAAAGTCAAGAATGACTCTCAGGTTTCTGGCAAGAGAAACTGGATAGATGTAACTAAGATAGGAAACTCTAGAAGAGAAGATTTGAAG